TGGGAAACTGCGCATCGCTCGAAAAATCCAGTGTTTCATGATCGAAGCAAACACATTGACACTCGATATCATTTCATCCGAGAGTGCATTGCAAAGAAGGAAGTTCAAGTGAAGTTCGTGAAGTCCGAAGATCAAATTGCCGATATCTTCACGAAACCCCTCAAGAGAGAATCGTTCGAGAAGTTGAGGAGACAACTTGGAATGCGTGAATCAAGCTTAGGGGGGCGTGTTGGAAATGAATAAGCTAGATTCATTAATCAAGTTCAAAGTATTGAAGGTTCTAGAATTCATGAATGTGAAGAATACATGAATGTGTCTTTTGGAGAGATTCATGTATAATGCTATGGAGGAAGAATATTATTAATTATGTGTTCATGTATTTGTTTAGATACATGTTAGGAAAATCCTATAAATAGTCTATGTAGTTTTTCATTTGAAGTAAGTCAAAAAACAAGAAGAAGTATTTTAGAGAGAATCAAAAGAGAGTTTTTGAGTGAGTTTATATATTTGTGTTGATTGAGTGAGTAATAGAATTTTATCTCCTCTCCACTACTCCTCCTCTCTATTTTAAGTTATTCCGCTGCGTGTTTTCGATCTATATTATTAAACCGATCCAACAGTTTTATGGATCGAAGGTTTTTTTTCTTATTTACAACTTAATTACTTGTAAAGTTTTGAATTTGATATTGATGTGTTCTTGATCAACATTTAATTTTTATTAAGCGATTTGAAATCAAGTTTATTGAACGGTCTGGCAGGATTGAGAGCGAGGCACTAAAGTCTTTTGTAAGCCATTGGCCAGCTCAACGTTGGCAAGAGTACGAGACTCTGTTAACTTATTGCCGTGACAATGGTGTACGCCTCATTGCTTGTGGTTTGCCACTTGAGGTATACTTACTTCACTCATCTGATTTCTCTTGCAACTGTAATTAATGCTTTGAGGACTTTAACCATATATATTTGACGAAAAAGCTAAATTTTCAAAACAAAACATGTTTGAAGATCTCTTGGAGATTAATGCATTGTGATATCTGACTTGTTCTTCACGGAAATACAATTATTTATTATATTTAATAATATAAGTCTTTAAGAAGTTGTCATTGTTAATTTCTGGTTACGCCTTGTTCTAAATTGATCACTTAATTTATAAGCCTCGTGTTTTGATAAGGCAAGTAAATAAATATATTGGTTGGGTAGGTGTTACGAACAGTTCAAGCAGAAGGTGTACATGGTCTATCGAAAACTGAACGTAAGAAATATGCTCCACCAGCTGGTTCAGGCTTCATCTCAGGATTCCCTTCAATATCAAGGAGACTATCGTCGTCTTCTTCTATCGATACAATAAACGGGCCAATTAGCTCATCCTACCTTTCAATACAAGCAAGGGTAGTTGAGGAATATACAATGTCTCAAATCATCTTACAAGCATTGACAGTGACGACAAATAATGGTGGGTCCAACTCCACTAACGGTATGCTGGTAGTAATTACGGGTGCTAGCCATGTCACTTACGGGTCGAGAGGAACTGGTCTGCCTGCAAGAATTTCAAGAAAGATTCAGAAGAAAAATCAAGTGGTGATATTACTTGACCCTGAAAGGCAATACATAAGAAGGGAGGGTGAAGTACCCGTTGCAGATTTCTTGTGTTACTCTGCAGCGCGGCCTTGCAGTAGAAATTGCTTCGACCGTGCTGAAATTGCTCGTGTCATGAATGCTGCTGGCAGAAAGAGAGAAGCCCTGCCCCAGGTTTCTTTCTAATACTATACATCATCTTTTCCATTTTTTATATATGCCTCATTTCATCAAAATATGGGTAAATTACGAGAACCCCTTGAGGTGAGGTTTAATTACGGAAATCCGCATAATTATGGAATTTCCTATGACGTATGTTCGCCGTCTTACATAGTCCCGACGGTGTTACTTTTGACGGAATCTTTTTTTTTTTTTTCCATGGAACATTGCTCTAAAAATTATCATTTTTGCCCTTTAGCATGTGTCACATTTTTAACACAAGGTAATTGTAACCATATTAATTATTTAGGGGGTCATTTGTAATATATTTAAAAAATGCGTAGTTATTTTTTATTTTAAAACCATTATGTATTTCTTCATTTTATAATTATTAAAAATAGAAAATATATATAGGAAAATTATATAAAAATTATTAAACATATCTTGTAATATTATATATTTTTATTTGTTTTGTAATTTTTTTTGCTTAAATTTTTATTACTTTTTATTGAATAAAATCGTTTTTACATATTTTAGAAATTCTCGTATTTCTTACATTATATTATAAATATTTTTAATAATTCAATTTTCAGAAGAATATTCAATATGAGCAAAAAGATTCTTTCAATATTAACACCATAGTCTGTAGAGGAATTGTGTAAGAAGGCAACATACCTTCTGGAGATTTTCGTAATCACGCAAACATAAGAGGAATTTTCTTAAAAGCAAGCGAATTTTTGTATTTAGACCTTACTTCAGGTGGATTCTCGTAATTTACCCTTTTTTTTCAAATAACTCTGGGGGTAAAACAGACAAACATATTTTATGTGAATTTAAACGGTCAAACATTGATCAAAGGGAGATTTTCGTAATTAATCATCTCACCTCATGTCATGTGCTTATCAGGACATTCAGAATGGCCTAGATCTTGGTTTGGTATCACCAGAAGTACTACAAAACTTCTTTGATCTTGAGCAATACCCTGTTATCTCGGAATTGACTCACCGTTTCCAGGTAAACAAAAAACAAATTGTCTTAATTAGTTTCAGAATAATCTTTCTAGGCAAATTTTATCGAGGTTTGTCTTGTCATGTTAATTAATGCACAGGGTTTCAGAGAGAGATTATTGGCAGATCCAAAATTTCTGAACAGATTAGCAATAGAAGAAGCTATATCAATTACAACCACGCTCGTCGCTCAGTACGAGAAGCGTAAAGAGAATTTCTTCGAAGAGCTTGACTATGTTATTACAGATTCATTGAGGGGTATAGTTGTCGATTTCTTCACCGTATGGCTTCCAGCACCAACATTGTCATTCCTCCCGATAATCGACGACGTTAATCCACCTGGCAGTCTAGAAGCTGTAAAGGGTCTTTTGGGGTCGATCCCCGACAATGCATTTCAGAAAAATCTTGCCGGGAAGGATTGGAATTTGAATCATAGAATTGCATCTGTAATTGTGGGCGGTCTTAAATTGGGTGGCGTTGGATTTATATCCAGCATCGGGGCCGTAGCTTCCTCCAATTTGCTATACGCAATACGTGGGATTCTAAGTCCAAGCCCTGCTACAACGAAAGGGTACAAACGATCGCCTATACTCAAAACAGCATTGGTCTATGCCTCCTTCCTTGGAACATCAGCAAATCTTCGTTATCAGGTTTCGTTGGCTTCGTTTTAAATCATATATATATACCATCTTCTTTCATTTTTATAAAAGATCAAGGGAATTAATTATATTTCGTATTCTTTCTTCATGCATAGGTAATTGCGGGAATAGTGGAGCATCGGATTTCAGAGGAATTCTCGGACCAGATATTGCTTGTAAATATGATCTCCTTCGTCTCTCGAACAATAAACTCATACTGGGGAACCCAGGTTAGAAAACATAACCGCATTCCATTTTAAAATTACGAGGACTTGGACTATATCAAGTCGTATGAATTTTCTATCGCATCCTCATTTTTCATACGTGCATGATAAAATGTTAAGTCGAAAATTTTATTAGCATATGACTATTCTTTGTCGTAATTTATATGCAATTAATTAGTAGCAACAACTGAACGATTATGTTTCGTAATATTATCTGCAGCAATGGATTGATCTGGCTCGGTATACGGGACTTCAGGCTCGTAAGAGTGAAGATATTTCCTTTCAGACTTCAGATCCTTCAAATTCTTCTTCAGCAATAGAGTGCAATATTATAGAAGATACAACAAGTATTGATGAAAACAACAACCACTAGGTTATACTTTTCCAAAGGAATATTCCTGGCCTTGGTTTTTTTCAAATTTTATCTTCTCTCAAATTTTTGACAAACCTTACATACATAGTACAGAAAGGTTTAATTGATTGAAAATGGAAAACCACAGGAGGGGAACAATTTCCTTCAGTTTTTTATCAATTGCATATAGTGTACAATTAATATTACTATTTGTTTCTCTTTGGTTGTATCTTCATGTATAAGTACAACTGTTGGAGCTCTATTTTTTTATCAACAGTTGTAAAATTTGCTAAAATTTAGCATATAACACATCTCTTGGACATTCGACACTTGGTATATTTTAAATTCCACTCTTCAAATTTGAAAGACCAAAATTGTGAAATGGCAAACAGATAATAATAAAATATAATAATTATACATAAAAACATATTGTAATGAGTAGTATGTCAAAAGTGATGTTTTAAAGTGATTTGTTAAAATATAAACGACCACTCTTGAAGTGAGTCAGAAAAATTAGTGTGCTAAAACACTGTTCATTGTGTACAATTTGATATAAAGTGACAAATTTTATAACAGCTGCTGAAGTTAGGGGTGTGCACGGGTTGGTATGGCTTGGTTTTTCCAATAAACCAAACACGTACCGATAATATCAGTTTTTCATATTTTAAAAACCAAATATGTCGGGTTTTTTCGGTTCGGTGTTAATCGGTTTTTCGGTTTTCGGTTAACGGTTTCAGTATCAATTTGGTTTATTTTCGGTTTCGATTTCGTCTATTTGTTAGAATCGGTTCGGCATAAAACTGATATATTTGGAGTTTCATTATATTTATTTGAAAAATTAACGAATAACAACCGAAAATTAACTAATAAAAAACACATCACAAACAAAATTAATTAATAGAAAAACATGTCACATGGAGGCGCTCGAAAGATAGACGCACGCTAGGGTAAGTATTTATATTATACATCAAAATGACATCAATTTGTATAAATCGGTTCAGTATTTTATTCTCCATACACAAACCGATATTTTCGATTTTTAAACAAAAATTTACCGTGTATGCGGTTTTTAGACGGGACGGTACATATCGGCTCGGTTTTTTCGTTTTTTGGTTCGATTTTTCGGTTTCTCGTTTTTTTTTCTCACCCCTAGCTGAAGCTGCTCTAAAGTAGGGCTGGGACTGGGTTGGATCGGTCGATTACCAGCCTAAGAACCGACCCATCCGTCAAACCATTGTTGCTAAAATTTGAAAACCGTTGCCGACCCAACCTTTGTGGGTCGGTTGATGGTTGGCAACCAAATATTTGGTTCCGAAATGGGTCGGTTGATGGTTTATACCCGCACCTAGTTCACCTAAAAAAATTCAAAATTTGGAGTAAAAATATCCACATTTTGCGTAATGTCACGGTGCGATCGTCATTTATCAGTTCAAAATAATTAATAACAATTTACGGAAAAAATATAATTAGGAAATTCAAAGTAATTTCAAACATACACAAGAGATTTAGTAGAGTTTTGTGGGCTTTTGTTTAAGTTTTGGCATAAAGAAACTGGTGGAAAATTTAGGTCAATTTTTTTTCCTTTGTTGATTGTTTTAAAATTTAAAATACTAATTATTTTGATAATTTAATAACCACTTAAGAAAACACGGGCTTTATTTTATATTTTTAATAAAATTTTAATAGTATAGTTGGATAACCGATAATTATCGGTCAACCAACTTTTGATAATATTAGAAACCACCAACCGACCCATTATAGATGGGTTGGTTGAAATTTTCGACCCGATCCAATGGGTCGGTTAAAAATTGATTATCCGCCTAAAAATATGGTCGGTAATGAATCGGTTGGTGGATAAAAGCCAACCCAGTCCCAGCCCTACTCTAAAGTTGCATTTCAAGATTCAAGTTTTACTAATTAGAGGGGCGTACTGTACACAGGACTGCCCAACCAATAGGCAACTTAAATTTCAACGTAGGGCTCCCACGTTAATGTGGGGCCCACCTGTAAATTACATTTTACTAGTATGCACAGAACACAAATATTTTCAAGTTTCAACTAATAATTTAGTAATTTATTTAAAATTAAACATGTCAAATCTCCCTTTTAATCCACTACTCCAATCTCATTAGACATTAGGTGTCTTTTTATCATAAAAAAATTAAAATAAAAATCACTTGCTAATTGTATTCTATAATATAATGTTTGTCCTAGTTCTACACCAACTCAAACCTCATATTATATATGGGTTTTTTGCAAGGACCACCCTTGTGTAATCCTGAATTGCAGAAAAACCACCTGTGTTAAAAAAATTAGCACAAACCCCCCTATGAAAATTAATCAATTGCAATAAAGTCCCTGCGAGTCCGGCGTGGGATACAATCGCGGTTTGTGCGACTAGGCGTGTGTTTTTGGACTTGAAAAGACCCAAGTACCCTTTAAATTAGAAATTTCGGAATTCACAAATTCACCCTAAAATTTTCATATGCCCTGAATGAAGTTTTCAATTTTTTTCAATTCAGTCCCTAGTACTTTCAGAAATGCCCTCTTCAAACTCAAGATTCAGCCTTTTCTTTCCGGACCCAAAACAATCGTCTTCGCCACACCATTTCAGAAGATTTGGACCGCATCTGCAGCTATACAAATATCCATATTATCAGGAATCGCAATACACCGCACTAAATCTTCTCCCTCGACATTCTGTTAAATCGAGATCTCAAACGAATATTTTTAATTAGTTTTCAAAATGAAGAAGTTTGTTTGGGGAGAGGGAAAGAGTTCGTCAAGTAAAACGAGGAAGAGGCAGCGGACGGTTGCGTGGTCGTAGGAGGGGTGGAAAGAGAAGCGATGGGAAGAGCGGTGGACGACGGCAAGGATGCGGTGGAGGCGGGCGAGGGAGCTGTGCAGCCGGCGCAGATATTTGATAAATTAAGAAACCTAGGAATGAGAAATTAAAGTGAAAGTGGGTGAATTTGTGTGTGTTAAATCGGATGAGCAGCTGGTGCGGCGGCAGAGGTCTGTGGAGGGGGGTTGCGGTGGATGGGTGGAGAAGATTGTGTGTGTTGATTTTTTTTATTTAGTATATTTCTGTTTGCATTTTGTTTATTTAAAATACAAATATTATTAAAAAATATTAAGGGTAGTTCGGTCATTTCATGTAAGTCAACGACCAATTTCGGAAAAAGGGACAGTGTGCTTTGTAAATCACAACACAGGGGGTTCTTTGCTAATTTTTTTAACACGAGTGTTTTTTCAGCAATTCAAAATTACACAGGGGGTTATGTGCAATTAACTCTATTATATATACATGGTATCAACACACGAAATAATCATTCATTGTCAACAATTATCAAGCTAGAATAATTTATATATTCGTATACAGATATTTTTCTAGGATTTTAGTAGAAATTAAAGAAGGTGTTCGAGGATGGATACCAAGCATATCGATACCATGCAGAAATATACAACGAAGAAATCTGCGAAGAGGGTGAGGATGAGTATGCCGTTCGGGCTCAAGTGCAATAATTGCGACAGGCATACGGACAAAGGTGAAAAGCTTTACTGTTTCAAAAGAGCAATCGGCATCGACTCGACTTTCGAAGTTGAGATTTACAGATTTGAATTTTGGTGTCAATGTTGTCGAAGTGATTTTTCGATCGTTTCGGATCCCGGCCGTTACGATTACGTTATTGAATCAGGTGCCACGTTCGTTGCCAAAAGATTTCATAAATTCCCGTATCGTTTGTAATTTATATTTAGCTTTAATTTTGTTTTAGATTTAGATGAGTAGCTTTAGCATGTTTTGACTTTCGATTTATTTTTTTAATAGAAAATTATTTTCGTGTTCATAATTATCGTGATTATTGTTAAATTTTTAATAGCAGTTTTTTCTTCATAATTATATGTGGTGTCGAATGCCTTGTCATTTGCAATAAAAATTAGGACTTTTATTGTAATTCACCCCTTATTAAATGAAAAATCTAACAATTAAACCCATGATAGTTACATGGTAAAATTGGATTCTTGGAGGACGACCTTGAAATCTAAACGATGCAGAATATACAAAAAAATGGAAATTTGGAATTCAGAAAATTAGCAAACGAACAGAATTCAAAAAATTAAAATTAACTTAAAACACATTGAAAAACACCAATACCTAAACGAACCTACCACCACCATGCGTACAAATTTATTAAATTCCGTTGATTTTTTTCTGTACGACCTAATACTTTTTTTTTTTTTGAGACCAAAAAAAACGCATTAGATTTCATTAAAACATCTCAGAAGATACATATGACTGGATCTTAACAGGTAACTCAGCCCAACTATGCGATTCATATTTTGACAACGTTGCTATTTCATGTGCCACTCGATTCCCTTCCCTACAAATATGTTGAGCTTTAAACTCGACACAAGTCTTTCCCAATTGCTGAATATCATCGATAATATGACCATAATCTGCTCGTGACCCCGAGTTGCACTGAATAGTTGTAGTGACCACCAATGAATCGCCTTGAAGGATAACTCGCTGCCAATTATTTTCACGTGCCATTTCCACGGCCAAAAGAGCTGCTTTTGCCTCCGCCGATGTGGGGTTTAATGGTTGTTTTAGGCACCGGGATTTCCACCCAATACAAGCGCCCGAATTCGATCTACCTATAGCTCCAAGTCCACATATTCCGTCCACGCTATTGATTGTCGCGTCAAAATTTATCTTAACAAAATTTTCCGCAGGAGCCGACCACTTCACCGCATTCCGTTCCCGTTTTAATCGCTGTTGCAACACCTCAGTTGTGACTGCGTGAATCTGATTCCAATATTTCTTAGAAAAAGCAACGATCTCCATGGCTGCGGGTAAAACACCTTCGAACACACGCTTGTTACGAGCATGCCAAATCGACCAACATAAAAGTATACATAGTTCAAAAACACCAGCATCTGAATTTTTTTTTCATTGCCGACAACCATTTGCCTACCTCAGTTTCCGTCGTTAGATATATTGACTGAGGGATATCACTTAATGCCCAAACTTGGCGTGCCAGTGAACAAAAAACCAGACTATGCATGATGTCTTCCCCCGATTCGGTCACAAAAAATGCACCTATCTTCCACCAACACCTTCCGTTTCAATAAATTTGTGCATGTGGGTAGCAAATTTTTACATGCTCGCCAGAGAAATATTTCGACCTAATACTTGATAGAACGATTAAGATTAATATAACCCTTAAGATTATTATAATTATAATAATTAATGAACAAACTTAAACGTCAAATAAAATTAAAAATCTCACAAATGTTCTTCCCCAAAACCTAAATTTAAATTAATCCCTATGTTATAGGATAGTTCTAAAGTTAAAAAAAAAAAAAAAAAAAAAAAAAAAAAAAAAAATCCTCTATGGGGTTTCCAGAATTTGATGATGTGATGGAAATTAATTTAAGCAACACTTGGAGTAGAATCTCTTATGGTTGTGATTGATTAAAAAAAATATGATTTTATTTGCAGGGGCCTTCTTATTGTCTTTGCCGGATGTCGTTTTTGTTTATATGATTTTTGTGCTGGTTGTCGATGTGTTGCCGTAGTTTCTTCGTATTGGTAGATTTTTCTTATTATGCATGCGGTAAACTATGACAAAACTAATAATTAAGTTGAATTACACATAAGTTTTGGTTGTGGTGTTATATAGCTCATCGTGAATGAGATGAAGAAACAAACGATGTTACTCCTCGAAGGTAACAATGAAGAGGGTCGAAATAAGACGGATGCGAAGAACGTGTTGTATGATTTAACAAAGAAGAAGAAACAGAAAAAAACGATATATAGATCAATGATTAGGGTTTACAGATTATGGAAGAAGATGAAAGAAAAGACATTTAGATGTAAGATTTCCTCTCATTTAATTTGCAATTAATTAAATGAAAATTGAAATAAAAAAATAATAAAAGTAAGAAATAAATAATAAAAGTAAAAAATAATTAAAAAAAATAAAAGTAAAAAATAATTAAATGACAAATGTAGCCATAAAATGAGCGGGAAAAAAAGCCCTAGGGTTTCAAGAAGAACCTTACTTTTATTATTACTAGTAACTTGACCCGTGCGATGCACGGGATTGAACAAACAAACATAACAATCATTAAAAAAACAGAAATAAAAATATATTGAATATTTAACTGAAAAATCTAATAAAAACTATATATTGAATATTTTATTGGAAAATCTAATAAAACTCTATCCACCAAAGAATTAATCCGGCCACCAACAGAGTAGTTGTTTTCAACTCTTGATCATATGTCACCTGCACCGTAGGACAAAATGAAAGAAAAAATAACTTTTTATAAATTGAAAATAAATGTTACAAAGCTCATTTATAAAACTTTGAAGACAAAAAAATCCATATATAAATTTAAACAAATATATAAATAACTTACTTAGCTCAGATTTTGGAAAACTTCTATATAAACGACGTTCGTAGTAGTATTGGAGGTGTTCCCGTCGTTGTCACAAATAAGTATCTTCAAGCCTCTTCGACTCGTAACTCTTGAGATAGCAACATATAATTGTCCATGCGAAAACACTGGTTTCTGAAGATATATACCCACATGTTGAAGAGATTGGCCTTGACTTTTATTTATCGTCATTGCAAACGAAAGAGTTAATTGTACATAACTTATTACAGCAACAATACCTTGTTTGATGCACCACCTAGGAGTTCTGAAGCACTTTGTCCAATTAATTGCATGACAATACGATCAAACATTACGAATGAAGTCGATCCAGTACTATCAATGGCACTCACCTGAACTCTGAACCTGTACAAAAATATATATTTTATATACAAATTTCGAATACCAAGAGGAACGATGGTGCAACAATTCAAATGAACTTATTTCGTAAAATATTACCAAATCAAAGTATAATTACCTTGGTACAGCAGGAACAAACCCGTCACACTCTTTGCACCAATATTTCTTTTAGACGGGTTCGACCTTCTTCACACAATTTTTACATGAAGCATACCACCAATTAGCTGCCGACTCGATTTCCATAATTTTCGCCAGCACGGATCCAACACAAACCTACAATATATATACAACAATCGATTCTTAAGCATTATATTTGTTCATGTAAAAATATATCAGATATATGTTCGACAAATCAACGTACCTTTGTACTCTCAACACACTCATCTATGGTCATTCTATCTGCCTGGAGTGGATCGTACGATCGAGTCAAAGAAAGTTGGGACGATAATTGACTAATTGATGGGACATAGACTTCTTCGCTCAACGCAAGCCTGTTAATTTACAGGTATTAAAATATATAACGAATGATTATACTCAAGGTTATATATATATTAAAAGTTGAATGATCAAATGTTAGTACCTACACCTGTAGTCTAAAACTTCTTTCAAATTCGGATCGATCAGTAGTTGTGATCCATGTCGAACATTTGACAAACTCGTGGTTCCTAAGTATGATTTCAGGTGAAATAATATACAAAAATATGCATCAATATTTTAACAAATTCCTAAATATGCATCAATATTAGGGTATGTAAATATTAACACGCACCACAATAAGTTTTAGCCCTGAAACACTGAAGTATGACCACAGTAGATCCATTTTGGTCAGCATTCATTACATATGCATCAATTTGTTGAGCAAATGCTTCCCATAAAGTACATTTAATTGTATTTTTCCTGTAATGTAAAATAAATTACTAAAAATATTATAAGAATAAATCCATATAAAAATTGTAAAAAAAAATATAATATTTAAATTACTCTAAATCTTGCAAAATAACATCCAAAAGCTTGCTTTTCTCTCCTTTTGTAGTGACCTCCTTTATATGCCCCTTCTCTACCACATGGCCAATTACATCTGTACAAATAAATAAATTAAATCAAATGTACCAGAGTTATATACTGAATCAAATTGCAACATTATTTTGATTACTGAGGATTTCTACATAACCCTTGTGATACAGACGACACAAATATATTAGTGATTAACGGTAAGACAGAACAAACATTTACCAAACTAAGTTACATGAAAAACTTGTGTAACCATTCTTCTTTATTGTGTCGAAAGAAACGAACTTGAAGTTGGTTGTCGGAATATTTTCGGCTACTATATTAGTAACTACAGTCATTCCGACAAAATTGAGCTTAAATCTGTACGTAGATACTCTAAATGGTAAATTTGAATCACCCACCAAGAAATTTTGAAACATATAAGTTTCCCCTTCTTTCACCAATTCCTTAAATTTCATAATGATATTCTTTTTTTATGGTAGCATGAATACGCATACCCTATTACAAAATCAATAAAATAGTTAGCTCCTAAATATTGGAAATATAAAACAAAAATAAAAATAAATAAATAGAAAAGAATCCGGCACTAACCATAGATGAATTACCCGTACAATTATCTTTCCAATTAATACTGCTTGTATCAATTTCATGAAGCAATGAAACCTGTGTAGTTGAAATTCGTGGAGCCATAACTGCTTCAATGAATAAAAATCCTTTATCCTTCAATCCTTCAATGAAACAAAAATCAGGATATTTAAGATTTGGGTGAAATTGGGCAAACGAACTGAGATCGAAGCAAGTGAAAACAGATTAAAGAACAGGGACCAAAGCAAGGGAACGGAAAAAAGAACAGGGTTTTCTTTACCTGAGGTGTTGGAACAACAAATACATGGAGAGATGGAGAGAGATGCAGAGAGAGGTATGCTTATAAAGAGTGCTTATAAAGAGTTTGTGGGGAAAACCTAAACGATATCCACGGATCTTCTAATATATATATATATATATATATATATATATATATATATATATATATATATATATATATATATATATATTAGAATATTGTTCCCGATAACTCTTTGGGGAAACGTGTGATAAAAAAATAGAGGAACCATGTCATTGAAAAGTTGTGGATTTAAAATGTTGAAGCATTAGTAGAAATTAATATATAATTAAACGTGCGTGTCATTGAAAGATTTGATAGATTTATGCCATATTAGGAGAGTAGTTGAAGGATTAGTAGAAATTAATATTTAATTACGTGTTTAATTAGTAGATTATATGAAATTTAATAAAATATGAAAAAATAGTATTAGAAAATTAATTTAGATTTATGCCAATAGTTAGGAGATTAGTTAAGGGATTAGTAGAAATTAATATTTAATTAATAAAATATGAAAAAATAGTATTAGAAAATTAATTTAGACTTATGCCAATATTTAGGAGATTAGTTAAAGGATTAGTAGAAATTAATATTTAATTACGTGTTTAATTATTAGATTATACGAAATTTAATAAGATTAGAAAATTAAATTAAATTTAATTATAAGATATCCTCCAAATGAGCGGGAAAAATTGACCTTAGGGTTTTCTAGGGTTTCTCCAGGAACCTTTCTTTTGTTAATAAGATTATTATTATTATTATATTATTATTATTATTATAAGTATAAGGTAGAAGTTTATTTTTACCCTTGATGTGTCCTTTAGCTATTGGTTGTTTTGGAGGGTATTTTAGGACAACCAACAAATGGAAAAAACCAGTTTATTATTCCCACTTTTATAAATAGTATAGATATAGATGACGTGATTCTACCCAAATATGCCCCTATAGTAAATAGATTTCGAATTTTTATTGTTCTTTTTCTTTTCTTATTAATCATATATGGTTCTCAATAATCAGCACGTGTGAATATATATTATTTAGAGTTAAATACAAAAACACCCCTGTACTATGGACTTTGTATCATATACTCCCCTATACTACACATATTTACAAAAACCCCCTAGTGTTATATTTTTTCCAAAATTTGACGAAAATACCCCTGCTAAGCCTATAAATATAAGGTTTTGTTTGAGACATTTTCCACTTATTTTTTAACATTGCGGTCAATTTTACTTGGGAAATTTTTATTTTTTTATTTTTTTCTCCAAAAACATTTAATTAATTCGATTTTTTATTTATTTTCTGAATAAAACCTTTTATTTTTTTCATTTTGAATTTCTTCATTTTTTTCTTAAATGACTTTCGGTAGTTCAAATTCGCAATAATCATAGGATTGTAAAGAGGTTTGCAATCTTAGGATGTTTGAACTTCCGTCGAAGATATTTAAGAAAAAAAAATGAAGAAACTCAAAATGACAAAAATAAAAAAATTTATTCAGAAAATTAAAAAAATCTAAGCAATTAGATGTTTTGGAGAAAAAAAATATATATACGGTAAAATATATAGTGGAAAATGGCTCACACACACACACACACACACATGCTTGAGTAGGGGTATTTTCTTCATACTTTGAAAAAAAATGTAATGTGAGGGGTTTTTTGTATTTATGTGTAGTACAGGGATTATATGATACAAAGTTCATAGTACATGGGTGTTTTTATATTTAACCCTATTATTTATTTTCAACATTTAAGAAATATATCGTAATTCTTAATTTAATAATTAACCCTGAGATTTTATTGATAACCTTTAAAAAGGGGAAAAAATATTGGCCTACAAAATAACAATTTTGTAGAAGTTACACCCGGTGAAAATTAATCTACACATAATAACACACACCCATATATAGTTAAACCACTATAAATTAATACAGTTGAGACCATCAAAATTCCATTATTTAGATCGATAAATTAATAATTATTAATTCTAACATTTATTAATAAATTATTAATTCATGAAATTATTTTTGTTATTATTTTCAATAAATACATTTTTTTTTGTTACATGTATACTACCCATTGTACCATTAGTTCAATGCACTATAGCACCCGTTTCACGAATGGGTAGCTCTTTTAGCAGCAATGGTATATAACAATTTTATATTGAGTTATGAGAAAACTATACCGGAAGTTCTAACCATGTTAAGAAAAGTGAGGAATGAGATTGATAGTAATGTAAACTTCAACAAGAAACAAGCGACAATTAAATTATATTATGATAAGCCGTCATAGATCTATAATATATGTATTGTACCATGTAATTTAAGAATTATTTTTATGCATTATTAATTTATATGTTATATGAGGCTTCTTAATTTTTTTTGTGTGTATTGTCTTATAAGTTTAACGAATTATTAATTTGGCACATTGTCCCTAAGTCGAGACCGACAAAATTTATTATTTAAGTAAGATTATTAATTTTTTGAGATTCTATTCTATATTGTGTGCTGAGTGACTAATTTTTTAGTATAGTTCAAAATCACTCTGGTGCTTTCCGCCAAATGTAACATTTCATAGACCCAACATAACCGAGAGAATAGAATCCTAGACCTAATGGCAATGTTTGGTTCTGTATTTGTTTCACTTTTATAATTTTCACCATGAGAACTAGTGTTTGTTTAGCTTTGCCAAAAAGTTCCCAAAACAATTTCTAAAGCTTCTCTCTTCACTCATTTGATTGTTACAGTAAAAAAATTTGACTGCTACAACAAAAACTATTTTGACTAGAAAAACAAACAAACGTCTCTTTTGTTTTTCAAATTATTCTTGTAAAATACATTATTTCGAAAAAGATTAAACATGATTTAACTGCTACGGTGTACTTTGTCTAATCTCAAATAATAAACAAACATTACTTTTATTCTCAAATTATTCTCTCAAAACATATTTTCCCCAAATAAAAAAATAACTCCCAAAACTAATCCAAACATTGCCGATACTATTCTCTCCACCCCAATACCACTGTCTGAGAATACCTCCCCACTCTAATTTAAAATAAATTGGTAACTAGTTTTAAAATCTTTAAACATGAAAGAAAGGAAGATGAGTTTGTTAATATCCAAGGAACAAAAACACCGAAAACTGTGTAGGAAACACTTGAGTGAATGAGAATGGCATGTACCAACCTTATCGAGTGCAAGAAGCATAAACAAAAGCAACCATTACATTTTATTTTATTTCAATTTCTTTTATAATAAAAAAGGGTAATTTGTTATCTGGATTTGCCTTTACCCTTGCCTTGACCTTTCTTGGCTTCAAGTTTAGCTTGAATTCTTGCAGCAGCAGCTGCTTTTGCTTCTTCCCTTTTCTTTTTTTCACCTTCTTTAACAGCAGAAGCAGCTTCCCTCTGCTTCTTTAGCTCACTAAACAAATAAATACGGTATTATTATATAAAAATTTAGAGACCAAAATTAACAAATACCGACAGCTAAAAAAATTGATATGAATGAGTTTTGACGTAATATTACTAAGTGGTAAACACTTACTCGAGCCGGGACCTCTCGTCTGAAGCACTGCTTAGAGTCGAGCCTCTCTGAGGTCGGCAATCTACCAACTCAACCTCAAAAATAAGTGTTGAACTGCATATCATTAAATTCAATTGCCATATCAGAAAAATTATTAACTTATCCATTTTTACGGAGAAATAAATAATACATGAATGTATATCATAAAAATGGGGTCTCGTCTTTTCATGGGATGGAAAGTAGAGAACTATATGTGTATGGAAACAAGATTAGGAAATATATTCTAAAGAGAACTAATTCCATGCACAACTTATATGGTTGACATATATAACAATTTTCATCAATTGAATAGAAAGCGAGAAAAAAGGGTTACGAAGCCAATAAGGTCATTCATTTTTATGAGAGAGATTTTCATCCATAGTAGGATTATTTTTTTCGCAAAAAAACTCATTTATACATTATCGTTGCAAGATACGATTAGTGAGAAAGTGATCCAAAACTAGTTAGCTGTAAATATTTTGAAGGAAAAATAAATGTTGGTTACTTTGGGGGGATATCTGGTGGAGAACCAGCGCTGCCATAGCCATAATCGGGGGTACAAGTGATCTTTGCAACCTCCCCAACCTGTAACAAAAATTAAAAGAATTAAATTGAAACCTCAAATAAAATAGAACTATTATACAAGAAGATTAACAAACCTTCATCGTTTTCAGTGCAATATCCCATGCTTTAATTACAGATCCAGTGCCAAGTTCAAAGGTGAAGATGGTATTATCTTCATGCGTAGTATCAAAAACTTCACCCGTCTCGGCAAGAATGCCTTCATAATGGACTGCCCAATAAAATCGAACAAAATTCATGCATTTGTTTTTTTTTTAATTAATATTGTTGTAATAGAACAAAAATATCACACAAAATGAATACGCTAGTTAGGTTGTTGTAATACCTGAATCCAGTTGAACATATTTTTTTAATAGGTGCAATAATTTTTTAATTGTGAAAAAAAAAACATAATTGAGATAGATACATAGTTTCAATTTATTCTAAACAGAGTTATTTTCATTTTCAGAATAAGGTTGAATAGGAAAAACATTATCCATTTCAACCAGGTTTGTTAGTAGCTCGGCCTGGATACTTATCCCAAATATGGTCGATTAAATCCCATATGAGGGGTTCTTTTATGCAATAAAAAATGAAATTACTTTTCTGACCTTCCATTCTTAAATGATCTGCAAAACTTTGTAGACCAAATACTTGTCTCTGAAATTGACGGTTGAGTTCATTGAAATTGAGGATTAGTTGCAAAGGTTTATGTCAGCAAGAGAAGATGGAGGAATATTACCTAATTTCCGTATGGATTTTATTTCAGGACTCAATTATTTCAGGACTCAATTATATTTTGAATTTTTGTTACTATAAGCCTAGACTTGTATTATTATTATTATTATTAGGAACCAGTTATAAAGTCGAGATAGAATTCATATTAATTTTCGTGGATAGCAACAAATTTTATGTATGACTATTGACATAAGAGAAGTCCGGTTTTATTGATACGTCCATAGTTTTTAGGCTTCATTCTATTGGTCGTTCATTTTTTTCGTTCATTTTTTTTCGTCCTTATTGCTCATTTATTCCATTTCCCCTTGTTGTCTCTATCCTTTTAAGTCTTTCATCATTTTCTAAATTCAAAATTTATCCAAGAAAGATAACTTGTGATTGTCCGAAATGTTAGACGGAATTTGGACTGTTAAAGTTTAGAAAGGTTTAGTTATCACTACCCAACTAGATTTTCTTCCCTACCCCCATCTCCTACTTCTGGCAAATTTATTTGCTATTTTGTAACCACTCTTTATTTGTTTTCTACATCTGGTTTATTTCTTTCCTGAGCAAAACAAGAAAGCGATTTTATTTGGTTTGAATTAAGTGAATGGTTGTTAATATGTTAGGTTAGTTTTATTTACAACATTAAAGAAAAATTAAGAGCGAAAAAAATGTTTCATTCACACATTTTAAGCAGGCGAACAAAATGAGACAGTTTAGAAATATCACACAATGTATCACAAAATTCTGCAGTTTTAATTTCCAGTGGTCGAATTCAAACCCAAATAATGCGATTGTAGTTACTAAAACCAAATACTAGTCAAATCCAGTTCGAAATCAGTTCAAGTTGAAATCATCACCAATTGATAGCATGTAAAACAAAAAAAAAAAAAAAAAAAAAAAAAAAAAAAAAAGAAGATGATTGAATACCATACCATCGAGAAGCGGAAGACTATCAGATGGAACAACTGCATCGGGTTTAGCTCGGCGTATTATAGTCTTCAACACACCTCCATCCCCACTCAAATCCATTGCTGCTGCATCGCTCATCTTTCTAATTTCTACCCACACAAAATTATAATAATAACATTAACCTAAGAAATGATGTTCCACAGAAGATAGTACATCAAACTAATTTTATAAACCAATGTTGCACTCAAGAACTTTGTTGAACGTGATTTAAAATTTAAAAAAAAAAAAAAAAAAAGAGACCAATTAATATATAGTCAGAGCTTGTATGGTTTGAGCTTTTAAGTTGTTGGTTCTCTCCAGCATTTTTCAAGGGTTTGAAAATGGGTTGCCTTATTTTTGCACAAAACTTAAAATCATTAAAATTAGAAAATCATTGCACAATTCTAGAAATCTTACCCAACAATTAAAACCCTTTGGCTCTGAACTTGTAAACATACATTAACAGGAACAATATTGAAGTAAGATTCGGTAAAGTAAGAAAAATTGGAAACCCAAGTTTGAAGAAAGCATAGCATACAAACAAACAAACAAACCTGAGAGGAGAGAAAGATAATTGAGATATAGATGAACAAGTACACATACAAGGGGGCTTTGGCCATAAAGATTCTCTGATTTTCTCTCTTCTATGATTTTGCTTTGTTTTCAACACTACTACTGAATTTTTATTTTATTTTTTATACATGCGCACAACAAGAAAGGGAATTACGACGATCATTTTACTTCAAACATTTTTGTCGGGTCCAGCCCAATCCCGGCCCACGTTGCACCTATAAAACAATTACTGAAATGCTAATTGTAGCGGGACTTTTACTGAAATAGGCTTATTTGCAGCGGTACCTTTTCATTTCAACTTTTCCAACTTTTTGAAATTCTCAAAACGCTCTCAACTAGCAAAAGTCCCGAATTAAGATTTTCGTGTTTTTTTCATAAATCGACTGCCCGACGACAACATATAACAATATGGCCGATCCTGACGAGTTTTACGAGGTAAATCGAAGAAACTCCCGGATTTTTTTGGTTTTTCGTCGGGTCTAACGTGCTGTGTAGCACGGGAATCCCAAAAATTAGGGTTTCCCGTGCTGTACAGCACGGGAGCACTTAAAAAAAAAAAAAAAAAAAAATTTAAAATACAGGTCCCGTCTTGTGGAGCACGGGAACATCGTGCTCCCGTCTTGTGGAGCACGGAAATATCGTGCTCCCGTCTTGTGAAGCACGGGAATATCGTGCTCCCGTGCCATAGAGGACGGGAATAGTAAACCTCCGTGCCTTCCGGCACGGGAACACCTAAATTTTTTTTTTTTTTTTTTTTTTTTTTTTTAATATTGTTATTTATATACTAATTATTACTTGTTATATCTTAATAGGGTACTGAAGGTGATTTTGACGATGAGTTTACAACTGACCGTGACAAAGCGTACAACGAGTACGAGGATCCCAACATGTGTTTCGATGTTCCTCAAGACACACCAACAACTTCTGAGGATCAGAGTCAACATTTCAATGTAGGTGTTGAGTTTGAAACTGGGAAAGAATTAGTGGAATGGGCAAAAAAAATGGGTGCTACTCATGGTTATCGATTGATAGTAACTTCAAGCAAGAAAAACGTGTATGTAGTAATTAGATGTCATTTGTCTGGGGAGGGACGTGAAAAACGAACCGTAGGTGCGATACCACGGAATGTGGGAACAAAAAAATGTGGATGTCCTTTTCGTATATACTGTAGCAAAAGTTCAAACGATGGACTATGGCGAATGAATTTAAAAAGTGGCATTCACACTCACCCGATACTACCGTATCCTACCGGACAAGGACCGGATAGTCGTTTGACACCAGAAGAATACGAGGTAGTGAAGTTACTTAGAAGGAGTCACGTGAAGCCGGCATTAATTATGGATCGATTGAGAAAGGATAATCCACAGACATCAACGAGCGTGAAACATGTCTACAACCAACTTGAGAAGATGAAAAAAGAGAATATGGCGGGGAAGACTGTGATACAACACGTGATGTCGAACCTTCAAGATTCTGGATATGAATATTGGTATCGAAGTAATGAAGGTGATGATACACTTACTGATTTGATGTTCGCTGCTCCTATTTCGTTGAAACTTTTGCGGTTATTCTCTCACGTTATATTGATGGACTGCACTTACAAAACCAATAGGTATGTTGTTAATTAGTATTTATTATTGTGCTATTTTACATATGGTGATTGCATTTGATATTTATGTATTTACGTAGGTATGAGATGCCACTTTTGGAAATAATTGGAATCACTCCTGTTGGTAAGAATTTTACAATTGCTGTTGCTTTCATGTCACATGAAGATGCAAACACATACGAATGGGCTTTGCGTTGTTTGAAATGTGCTTTAGGGGGGCTGGTACCTAATGTGATATTGACGGATCGTGAATTGGGACTTATCAAAGCAATGCCTCTAATATTTCCAGATTCCGCTCATTTCTTGTGTTTGTTTCACATCAATAGAAACGTGGAAAAAAATGCATCGAGATTTATTGGTAGTACTAAACACGGGCTTATATTTCGGCGCATACAGTGGGCAAAATTAGTGGAATCAAAAACAGAAGAAGATTACAATGATAATTACGAGGATATGGTTAGACGCTATGGTTGTTATCCCAAATTGATATCATACCTTGACGATACTTGGCTAATTTACAAGCACAAATTCGTCAAAGCATGGACTAATAAGATTTTGCATTTTGGGAACACGTCGACATCTAGGTATGTTGGGTTTCATTATCGTCTTGTATTTTATATTATATTGTGGGCGTTTTTATTTATTAGTTGTTATTTTGATGGCTATTAACAGGGTGGAAAGTGCTCATAAATCGTCGAAGGGTTGGATTAATGCTTCTACCGGTGGTGTGAACACCATTCAATATCAGCTCGACTCCGGGGTTGAGTATCAACTAACCAAGATCAAGGGTGAGTTTTCAAAATGCAGTTTAATCCGATTGCACTCATCATCGTATCCGGTATTTCAGGGTTTGATATGCAAAGTCACACATAAAGCATTAAATTTGCTTGATGATGAGCTCAAAAAACCGGGGTTTGAAGACCCATCTCTTTGTGATCACGTTTTGTGGGATACCCATGCACTTCCTTGTGCATGCCGAATTGCGTTGAAAATCCAGCAACGTGATACATTTATATGTATGGATCTACATCCATTTTGGAGTACCATGCACGTTGAAGAACCAGAAATACCCGAAGCACAGATGGATCGTGAAACAAATATGAGAGACCGAATAATCAGACTAGCCACGGAAGTGTTAGAAAAAGATTATATGACTCAAAAGATGACTGCTGATTACATGAATAGCACTATTCATCCAGACACCACCCATTTGGCAGAGCCTGCATATGTTATACCGAAAGGAAGGCCAAAGGATAAACCGACGAAGAGAGATAAATCCGGTTGGGAGTTCCCACCATTCCAGCGGAAGCCGTCTACTGGTGAAGAAAAGGGTAAATCGTCTGCAGGTTCTAAGGGTCGAAAAAATACTTCTACCGGAACCCCACCATCGAATGTCACCGATCCCGGTTCTGGTCGTGGACGGGGGCGGGGTCGAGGGAGTGGTAGATCAAGTGATGAATCCACTGCCAATCAGAATCGTACGCCAATGCCTCGAAAGGAACCGGGCGATGAGCTCAATTTCAGATCTTACATCCCAGGTTTTGTGGCAGGATCTATTGTGTCGTATGTTAATGTTGTAGCAGATGGAAATTGTGGGTACAGATGTGTTGCAGAAGCAGTGTTCCGAGATCAGAACAGATGGAGTCGTGTAAGGAGAGATTTGATTGCCGATATGTACGAGCATTTTGGTACGTACGCATCGCAAAATGGTCAAGATGAAGTCATCCGATGGATAGAAAAATGCGATTGGCAAGAAGGACCGTGCAGTCGGGACAAATGGATGTCATTTCCGGATATGGGAATGTCGATAGCGACTAAATACAATGCGGCTCTGGTTTTATACGCCATTGGCGGAAATATAACCTACTTACCTCTAGTTGGTCCGGGTGAATTATCCCATATGATCCATATGGTGTTGTTAGGAGACCATTTTGTCCTTATCCAGTTACCGGTTAATTGTCCTCTACCACCTATCACTCCACAGTGGCGACATGTTAGAGCCGCAAATCTTGCCCACTTGTCGGAAATGTTCGAAGAACGCCTATACATGTGGCGTCGTTTATCTAGGTTGGGATAGGTCCTTGTATTATTTTATTTTAGTTGGTATGTATTTGGACCTTGTATTATTTTATTTTAGTTGGTATGTATTTGGACCTTGTATTATTTTATTTTAGTTGGTATGTATTTGGACCTTGTATTATTTTATTTTAGTTGGTTGGAATGT